CCCTAGATCTATGATCCTATGATTCCCCGGGGGGTTCTGAACAGCTGCTGCCCTTTTCAAATCTTTTAAAACATTTCTGACTCTTGTCACATGATGGGGGGAAAAGAGAGGGGAGGAAGAGGAGAGCCAAAGTGTTTTGTTTTAATGACTCAGTAGAAGTCCACGCACTTCAGCAAACCTAAACAAGCAAGAGCACAGACTTGGAGTATCATCTATCACTGGGCCTCAGAGTCCTGGCCAACCTCACGTGCTTCCATTACACCATGACAGGCATGGGTCTCCCAATGCCACAGGATTGTCTGAATATAGGAAGGAAGAGTTGGATAAAAACTAGGGCATCAGCCCCCAATGTTTGGGGCAGAGGAGACTCTGGTGAAATTCTGAAAAAGAAAATACCAACTTCAAAGGCACCAAGGGTTTGAGAGGCTTGCAGGCAGCACAACCATACACAGTGGCTTCCCTTACTATATTCTCAATCCCAAAAGGACAAGTAAAAGCTTTCCCTACCAAGTGCCACTGAGACATCTGTCTTTGTGTGTCAGGTATCTTTCCTCTGGACTTGGGCTCAGAGACCCAGGGAGTACCCTAGGAATTGGGGGGGGGGGCACAAATCTTGCAACATGCTCAAAATCATTTTTCCCAGGTGGAAGCATTCCCCAGGATTCTTCCTGGCATTTCTCCACTCCCTCTGTAGGAATGTTATAAGGACATAGAGAGACCATAGAATTTAGAGGAGAAAAGAAACTTAGAAGTTCTCTTCTATCCCATCCCCCACATTTTACACATGAGGAAACTGAGGCCCAGAGAGGCTCATTGACTTGCTCAAGTGGTACAACTAGTAAGAAGCAGAGCCAGGAATGGAAATCTAGTCCTGACTACAAACCCAGGGCTCTTTCTAACATACTACACTACCTCTGTGTTAAAACACTTTGTAAAATACATCACTAGAAACATATCAAGTGTTACTATCATTACTACAAGAAAGAAAAGAATTCTAATTCTAACTCGAGTATATTTTCCTGTATCTTTTTCTGAAACATTTTATTGCTTAATATCTTCTCCCAGTCTTCCTAGGGATTTAAGTACAACTACCCAAAGGGCAGCTAGGGCTTAGAATAGATAGAGTACCTGGCCTGGAGTCAGGAAGACTCAAACTTCTTGAGTTCAAATCTGGCCTCAGACACTTCCTAGCTGTGTGACCCTGGGCAAGTCACTTAACCCTATTTGCCTCAGTTTCCTCATTTGTAAAATTAGCTGGAGAAGGAAATGGCAAACCACTCCAATATCTCTGCCAAGAAAACTCCCAAAGAAGTCGTGAAGAATCATACACAACAGAAACAACTGAACAAAATCCAAAGGAATGGAAAATACTTTGGAACTAGTCCAGAGGATCAGACACTTAGAGCCGGATCTGACTTACGTATCACTGAGTTCAGCAGCACCTCTCCCTGCCCCCCTTTTTTTCCTTAAGAAACTGAGGCTCAGACAGATAAAAAGAACTTGCCCATGGCCACATAGTAAGTGGCAGGGCTAGGATTTGAACCCAGGTTTTCTGATGCCAAATCCAGCATTCCTTCCATTGCAGCATGCAGCCTCCTCAGAAAGGAGGATCTCCCCAGGGCACTGTATAGGCAAGGAAGCCTGCTTAGTAAAAGCAGAATGGCCTGAGCCCTCTTTGTAACGCTATGATGTATTATCTGTGACAGAACGGAAGGAGCTCTGGATTCGGACTTAGAAGGCTGGGTTGCTAATCTCTGTGGCCTTGGATAAGTCATTTGGCTTCTCTGGGCCTTAATGGTCTCATCTATAACATAAAGGGGTCAGACTAAGTAATCTCTAAAGCCTATTCTATTTCTAAAATGCCAAGGAGGAGTGACATTTAGTTTTACTACATTGGTTGGGAAAGAAATCCGCTGGTTCTTTTTGTGGTGGTATAGAATTAGAATCTTAAGGAATGCCCATCAGTTGGGGGAATGGCTGAACAAGTTATGGTATGTATGCTTAGCATATAGTAGGTGCTTAATAAATGTTTATTGACTGATTGATGAATGTGATAGAATACCATGGTGCTGAAAGAAATGATGAAGGGGATGGTATCAGAAAAACCTGAAAAGATTGGTATGAACTGATGCAGGGTGAAGTGGCCAATGTGGGAATTTGTTTTGCTTTGATTATACATGTTTGTAATGGGTTTTGTTTTTCTTGCTTTCTCAATGAGAGTGGGGGTTGCAGAAGGGCTACTTGTGGACCTGAAAATAAAATAAAATAATTTTTTAAAAGGAAAAAGTCATCATCTGTACCCAAACCCAAGGGAGTTTAAATAAGAAGTATTTTTTCTGCTTCCTGTTAGTATGGTTCTCTCATACCCCCATTACTGATATCTCCCAACCACAGTTTAATACAGGGACCAGAAAAAGTCATGGCCAAATTCTCTTACCCATACCTACAGGAAGCAAGGATGGCATGATTAACTGAAACCACAAATGGGCCCAAATCCTCATTTCAGCCAAGGGCATGAGAAGCAGTGAGAAGAGAGAGGGCAGGCAGGTGTCTGGGTTCAAATTCCACACCTAATACACACAGACTAGGCAAGGATCTCAGGACCCTAGGCAACTATCTAAAACTAAGTTATAGAGGGAGCTCCAGCCTTGGAGTCAAGAGGACCTGAGTTCAAATTCGGTCTCAGACATTTGACACTTATTAGCTGTGTGACCCTGGGCAAGTCACTTAACCCCAACTGCCTCACCAAAAAAAAAAAAAAAGACTAAGTTATAGAACAACACTGCTCTGCATTGATTGTTGTAAGGACAGCAAGGTGGTGCAGGAGATAAAATGCCTCGCCTAGAGTCAGGAGGACCTGAGTTCAAATCCAGCCTCAGATATTTATTAGCTTGTGATCCTGGACAAGTCCCTTAACCTTCTTTGCCTCAGTTTCCTCATCTCTAAAATGAGCTGGAGAACAAAATGGCAAACCACTCCAGTATCTTTGCCGAGAAAACCCCAAAAGGGGTGATGAAGAATCGGACACAACTGAACAGCAACAACAACTGAGCACAGTGCTTGACACATAGTAGGCCCTTCATAATTGCTTGTTGACTGACCCACAAAGCTCTAGAAACTCATTACCCAACAGGTTCTCTGAGTGAGTGTCTCTTCTTTCTGACTTTTGACTCCTCACTTCTCTGCTCAATCAGCAGGCTCAAGAAGCCATAAATTGGAAAGGCTCTAACACATCTGGGCCAAGAGTTGCATAAGCAAATCCCAAGATGTAAAATATTAGGGATTCTGGGTACTGAGAAGTTTCTCTTTATTCTGAGGAATGACTATTTCTTTACTGTTTCTCCCAAACCACAGCCCACACTATGACCTAGACTTACCTCCTTAATGATCAGGATTTCTCAGTTTCTATTCTATACTCAAAGTTCTCTCACACTCATATGTCATCTGGCTTTTTTTAAATTAATATTGCTGAACTGTTTTCAGGCATCATAGAACAGTGGATAGGGTACTGTAAGTGCAGTGAGGAAGATCTGGGTTCAAATCCTGTATCAGACATAAATTAGCTTGTATAACTCTGGGCAGGTCACTTCACAGCTCTGTGCCTCAGTGTCTTCATCTGTAAAATGAGTGAGTTGGGCTCAGTGGCCCCCAAGGTCCCATCTAGCTATAAATTTACAATCCTGTGTTTTCTCCCCTCTTTTCTATTTTTTTTTTGTTTGTTTTAAGGGATATCTTTATGGCAGATAGAGAAAGGAGGGTAACATTGGGAAATATAAGTGACATAAAGCAGTAAAATTTAACTTTAATTTTTAAAAAGTTGTTCCACACCCACCACCACCTTTGCTAAAACCACATCTTTTCCCTTCTTATTCCTCATAAAACTAAGGACTCTCTCCTTAAAGATGTACTTGTCTTTATATATTTGAAGGACTAGCTTATAAAAAGGGAAATAAATTTGTTCCGTTGTTCCTTTGGGCTGAAACAAAGCAGTTGGGTGGCTCAGAGGCTAGAGGGCTGGGCCTAGAGTCAGACAAATCCGAGTTCAAATGCAGCTTCAGACACTCATTGGTTTTGTGACCCTGGGCAAGTCACTAAACCTTTGTTTACCTTAATCTACTAGAGAAGGAAATAGCAAACCACTCCAGTCTCTTTGCCAAGAAAACTCTTTACAGGGTCATGAAGATTTGGACACAACTGAACTGAATGACAACAATGACAACAGACTTAATCAAGAACCTACAATAAAGTCCCTTCCCTCCTCCTTCTGCTGTGTGTGTGTGTGTGTGTGTGTGTGTGTGTGTGTGTGTGTGTGTGTGTACCTTCAAACAACTTGAGCCATCCAGCAACAGATGATGATAATGATCTCCCTGTCACTGATGGTGCTCAAAGACCCTTTTTCAGGGATGCAATAGATGAGATTCTTATGCTTGGGGGTAGTTGAAATTAGCCCTGACAAGTTCCATCCTAATTTCAAGAGTCTGTTTTTTATTTCTTCTAAATTATCCCCTTGGATGACTAGAGCAGGGTTCTACATATAATAGGCACCAACTAAATGTTCATATTTAATTCTGTCTTCCCTGAGGAAAGCAGTCACAGTAGAAATTCCCAGCAGCCCTGCTACTACCTGCATCTCTGAGACAAAGAAACCCATATTATTATATATCTAGAGCTGAAAGGAACCTTAGACGCTATCTAATTGAACTCCCTCATTTTACAGATGAGGAAAATGAGGCCCAACTGTTTTGCCTAAGGTCAAGTAGGAACTAAATGTTTAAGGCAGGATTTGAACCAGGTCTAGTGATTATAGTCAGTGTTCTTTCCATTACACCATGCTGCCTTCCCAGGAGGGAAGAGGGCAGGTTTGATGGTTTGAGGAGTAGTACCCATCCTTGCAAGAGCATTCAACAGCACCTAGGGTGGTCCAACACATATTTAGGCAGCCGCATTCACACCTGCGAAGGCTTAAGCAAAGCAGAGGTCATTTCCCGTCACACACCTACCTGAACAGAGGACTCCCTTATTTCTGGCGCAGGAAAAGTTGTCACACTCGCAGAAGGGCCCGTAGATCTTCCCAAACTCACTCTCGTAGCAGGAGCACTGGTTGCAGCTGCATTCCCCCCGCCCACTGCACAGGGGCTTGCCCTCCATCTCACGGCACAGATTTTGGTAGAGGTCCCGGTTTTCTCCCTCCTGACACTCACACCTGGAGCCCAGGTGGCCCTGGTAGCACTCGCAGGTGCCACAGGTGTAAGTCCCATTCCCGCTGCACCGAGGGCTGTCCTGCTCAGTCATATTGGTGCAGCTGCACAAGCAGTTGTAGGTCACCACGAGCTCCAGGGTGTCCCGGAAGCCAACTGGTCTCAGGGTGAACGTGTGCTCGGTGTCTTTGGAAGGGCAACTTCGGGCTTCTACGGACACCTCAAATGATACCTGGGCAGAGAAGAAGAGAGAAAATGCACAAAGATTCTAACAAGATAAACAAGAACAATAAAACAAAAGGGAATGCTGAGTAATTATAATGAGCCCCTACAAGGGGAGGAGAAGATGCACCTCCCTCCTTGGCGGGGCTGGGACTACAGATACAGAACACTGTATACATTGTCAGCCGAAGACTGTCTGGAGGATGGTTTTGTTGAATTCTTGGTTTTTATTTTTTAATACCACTGCCACAAGAGAACATCCCACGGTTAGAGGAAAGGAAGAGGGAGTCTATTTGGTGACATAAAAACAAAAGCTATGAAGAAAAAATTTTAAAATAAAACTGAGATCGAATTGATCCTGTGATTTCATTGGTATAGGAAATTGCAGATAGGAAAATCATTCTTCCAAGGCAGACCGGCACATATATAAATTTATATAGTTTATAATTTTGCCTAGGACAATGGGTGGGTAAGTGACCTGTCCACAGGCACACAGTCAGCATTCGTGGGAGGCAGGATTTCAACCCGGATCTTTCTGACTTTGAGGCCAGTTCTCCACTTTGCCACCTTATCTCTCAAAAAAAATTAATACATGAATATCTTTTTTAAAAGATAATAAACAGTGGCACATAAATGGAGCTTAGGGATTTGCAGCAGCCCTATGAACAGTTTACCTAATTATTTACTGAAACCTAAGTTCTTTCCACTACACTTGCCTAACACATAGTAAGTGCTGAGTAAATGTTTTATCTATCTATCTATCTATCTATCTATCTATCTATCTATCTATCTATCTATCTATTCTATGTTGCCTCTCATATGGCTATGCTGGAAGGCAGAATAAAACTGCCCTAAGGGAAGTATCGACAAAGTGCCAGAGGAAGAGGAGTCTGGGAGTCAGGGAGGTTACAGGAAGGAGTTGGCCTCAATTCAACAGGCATTTATTAATCACCTACTATATGCAAGGGTACAATGTGAGGATGCATAGACAAAATGAAAAAGTCTTTGTCCTCAGGGAACTTTAAGTCTCCTGAAAGTGGGCATTTGAGATTATCCTGAGAGTAACTCAATCAAGGAGATAGGGCAGTGTGGGGCTGTGGATGGAGGACACTGGACTAAGAGAAAGAAGATCCTGACTGACACATGGCATTAGCCAGCTGTGTGACCCTGGCAAGTTTCTTTGCTATTTCTAGGTCTTGGTTTCCTCACCTATAAAATCAGGGCCTTGAACTAGCCCAAGGATTCTTAACCTTTTCTACGTCATGCACTCCTTTGGCAGTCTAGGGAAACCTTTTCTTTCTTTCTTTCTTCCTTCCTTCCTTACTTTCTTTCTTTCTTTCTTTTTGCTGGGGGGGGGGGGGAAGAGCGTATTGCAGGGATGGTGTGGTAGAACGGCTTATTTTCCTATAGGAAGATCCTGACTGACACATGGCATTAGCCAGCTGTGTGACCCTGGCAAGTTACTTTGCCATTTCTAGGTCTTGGTTTCCTCACCTATAAAATCAGGGCCTTGAACTAGCCCAAGTATATTAGAGTGCTTCTCTGAGCATGAACAGTTCATTACTAATTTGGAGGGAAAGCTGAGCCAACACACAGTTGGCAACAGTAAAGCAGAAAAGCAGCGAGCAGCTTTCAGAGATTTGATGTACAGCATCGCATTTACTCATCTTAGAAGAGATTGGCAGCTGACAAATCTCGTTAGCTCCCAACTCATGTTTAACAGAAGAGGTTTTAGGCTGGTTCTATTATACATGCTAGGTGTGCTGCAGCATCATCAATAAGAGAGATGCAAACCAGATCTGAGGGCAAAACACTGAAGGAATTAACTGTTTGGGGAGCCTATGTTTTTAAATGCATAAAATAAAATAATGGGGTTACAGAGGAAACCAATTCTATTGAGATACAGTTACAAAAACACTTCTGTAATGTGTCTGTCTTGATGTGGCCCACAAGCAGACATGAATAGGTGTCTCTAACGTCTCTTCCCCTCCCCACCAAGACAAATTTTAATGCCTGCCAGGAAGAGAAGTAGAAGATTGGGGCCGGAGGCTGGCCACTCTACTTTCCTCTGGGAGAGGGGCTAGAATTCTATCAGTTCCTTTAAATATTTAGGGAAGTAACTTTAAGGTTCAAGCTACACTCCTGATTGCTGTTCATTAATGGAGAAAGGAGAGCTCCAAACTTTATATATCCAAGGCATGGCTTCTTTCCCACCAAATGCCAGTTTCACCATTTAACACACATAACAAATAGCAAAGAAATCCATTTATCCATGTAGAGAGCAAAACAGAAATCAGAGAAAGTATACATATGAGAACATATGCCAGAGAAGGTGGAGTCAAGATGGCAGAATGGTCACAACTGCCAAGCCTTCCCCAAAACTCTGACCACCAAAAATGCCAAATCGAATTCAGAGTGGAAAAGCTAACAAAAAGTCACAGTGAGTCATTTTTCCAGTCCAGAGCAGCTTAGGAAGGTAAAAAGGTTAGCAGACACTGGGATGGGGGTTGCCTGGGAATGTAGAGGCACCAGCTGTGAGCTTACCCAATGCACAAAGATAGTAAGGGAACTGAACAGCTGGTCGGAAAGATTCCAGGGGATCCCTGTGCTACCAGTGGGCACAGGATAAGGTGCCATTTGGCAGCTCCAAAGCCTATTACCCAGGTCTGGATTACAGTTCCAATGTGAAAAGGAGTAATTGCAGTCACCAGGGAGCAGGGGCCCTACCTATGTAAGAACCAATACACGGACCAGGAGAGCAGTGACCAGACCTCTCCCTGGATCACACCACCTTGGAAGCATAGAAAACCTACAGGGTCCCAGATCAAGCTACAGAAAGAAGCTCATCCCACACCCCCCTCCCCCACTACCACCAGAAGTGAGCAAAGCCCTATTCTAACATAAAGTTCAAAGGCTGGAAAAATGAGCAAACAACAACAACAAAATAATCTGCGCATAAAAACATTCTATGGAGATAGGGAAGCTCAAGACACAAATTCAGAAGGCAACTTGAAAACATCTACAAACAAAGTCTAAAAGAAAAATGAAGATCAAACACAAACCTAACAAGAATCACTAAAAGAACTAAAGAGAGAGATTAAAAAAGATAGCAAATGGATGACTTTAAAAATCAAAAAAGAGCAGTAGAGGAAAAACTGAGGTAAGAAATAAGAGCTATGACAGAATATATAGTAGACAATATAAAATGAAGGAGCTCTTCTATTGGAAGTGAGATATCTCAGCTTAACAAAGACAAAGAGAGTCCCAAATCTCACTCAATGGGAAAATCTCTAGTAAACAAGCGGAAGATAGGGACATCATAGAAACCGCCAGCTACACTCATGTCAACTTTTTCCAAGTCTCTCACCCTTTAACAACTGCAAGAGAGGTTGGCATTGTACATCTCCTCTCATGAAGCAAGAAGTTAAAAGAAATTCAGATCTCTCCCTCTCCTGCTCTTGCCAACTCTGCCCAACCCTAACACAGATGGAGGTCATTGAGTAATCAATCTTCACCAATGAGGAGGAAGTCCCATACAACTGGCCTTTTAAACGAATGGTTGCATTTAAAAAGCAAATTCTTAGACGTCAGCTTAAGAAGTCCTAAACTAATCTTTAAGGACCCTTCCATTTCTAAAATCCTACAGCAGTTGGCTCAAGGAAGGGAATAAAGAATTCAGGGAAAGAAAATTAAAAAGCACATTTGCCCTTCTTTCTTAGTGTATTTTTTTTTTACAATTCCATTGTTTTTTTCTTTGTTCAAATAAAGTCATCTCTTTTAAAAAAAAATCCGTTGTCCAGAGTCTGAGTTATTTTTTTTAATTTTTTCTTTCACTGCCTTCACATGTTGAACATTAACAAAGACAACAATGTATTGTGTACATACCAAATCAAAAGGCAAGACTGACTTTTACAATAAAATCTTCAGCTTAACAAGCCCGAAGCCATATAAAAACTGACCCTTTGGAATAAGACCTCTATCAAAGTCTAGAATGTATACAGCTAATTATATTTTAGAGCGTCTAATGAGTAGGAATTTTTAATAGCCTATTATAATTTTCAAATGGTTTTCAAAATAAATCTACAAATGAAGGGAAAGAGGTTCACTCCTCACATCAGAGGAAAAGGCAGAAAATATAAAGACATTCTGAGATTTGGTAAAATTGATTTGAGAGATCCATGATGATAATAATGGCTTACATTTATGTAGAGATTCAGAGTTTGCAGGTCACTTTCTTCACAATGTGTCTGTACGGTAGGCATGTGTATTCTTATTCTCATTTTACAGATGAGGAAACTGAGTCTCAGGAGGTTATGTGAGTTCATCAGAATCACACAACTAATAAGCAAGAGATTTGGGACTTGACCCCAGGTCTTCTGGGTCAAAATCCAGTGTTCCTTTCACTACACCAACGTATTCATTATGAAAACTGAGTTAAAGTGAGGTGTCAAAAGAGAGTAGAGAAAGGTTTGAAATACCTAGTGTGGAAAATCCAATAGGGAATCAATAAGAGATGAATAAAAGCACTGTCAATTAATAGTGAGGGAGCGGGTGATGAGGACTCATCAAGCGCCATCTTGTAATTTTCTCCAACAACGCTTATTACTATGAAGTAGAAGAAGTCATTGGCAAGGTATCCAGCATTGAGGATTGGCCAAGATCACAGAACTGAAGCTGAAGTGCCTTCAGAGGTCATCTAGCTCAGGTGACCTCTCATTCCCAGATGAGGACACTGGGACCCAGGGAAGGCAAGTGACTTTGCCAAGGTCACACAAGGAATAAGTGACTGAGCCAGTATTTGAACTCACATCTTATGCCTCTTAGTTCAGTGCTTGTTCTCAGGGACCATGCTACATACTAGTTGGAATAATATCAAGGTAAGGACTAATGTAGGAGCTATATTCAGCAAAAAGTCAAATGAAGCCAAAAAGGAGTAATGGACAGGAGACTGGAAGGGTTCAATGTACTAGAAATCATAATGACGCAAAAAGAGCAGATTCTCTGCACCAA